AGTACTCACACTCCGTGGTATGCTGATGTGACCAAATTCTTGGCCAGTGGAATCATTCCTGACGATCTTTCTTATCATCAAAAGAAAAAATTCCTTCACGACAGTCGTTTCTATCTTGGGATGAGCCATTGCTTTTCAGAACCGGCCCCGATCGTGTCATCCGAAGATGTGTTCCGGAAACAGAAGTACGTGAGATTCTCACACATTTCCACTCTTCACCCTGTGGCGGGTACGGGGAATCTCGCACAGCCGCCAAGGTTCTGCAGTCAGGCTTCTTTTGGCCAACCCTTTTCCGAGATAGTTACGAGTTCGTGAAACGGTGTGATCGATGCCAACGAACAGGGAACCTATCCAACAAAAGCCATATGCCTTTGAACAACATGCAAGAGGTGGAGCTTTTCGATGTTTGGGGCATAGACTTCATGGGACCATTCCCTTCTTCGAACGGGAAATTATACATTCTGCTTGCCGTGGACTACGTGTCCAAATGGGTCGAAGCGATTGCCACCACAGCCAACGATGCTCGTACGGTCCTCAAATTCTTCCACAAGAACATCTTCTCAAGGTTTGGGACACCCAGGGCAATCATTAGCGATGAAGGATCTCACTTCTGCAACAAACTGCTCACTAATCTCACGAATAAGTTGGGGATCCGACACAAAATTGCGCTAGCCTATCATCCACAAACAAATGGCCTTGCTGAGTTGTCAAACCGAGAAATCAAACAGATTCTGGAGAAGACCGTGAGCACGAACCGAAAAGATTGGGCATTGAAGCTCGATGATGCACTTTGGGCCTATCGAACCGCATTCAAGAGACCGATTGGGATGTCTCCGTACAAACTCGTGTAGGGAAAAGCGTGCCACCTGCCAGTGGAATTGGAGCACCGAGCTTATTGGGCAGTCAAAAAGCTCAATTTCGATCAAACAGCTATCGGCGATCGTCGATTGCTTCAACTCAATGAAATGGAGGAGTTCAGAAATGATGCTTACGAAAATGCCAAGATTTTCATCAAGGTGTAGCAAAGT